AGGACAGAAAAATAAATACACAGATAATTCTCAAGTGTTTTGATGCTGCAAGATGGATCTGAGCTAAGGGATATTGAACACGAAAGTAATTTCAGAACTTTAAAAAAAATCTCAAAAATTAAGCATTGAAAAAATTGCATGTAGACTAGGCTGAGTTTTGTCATGTTCTCAGAGTTCTCTCCTCATTAAGCTAAGTAGGTGGACTCATACTAGGGTAAGGCTGTTGCTAGAGGCCCTGCACTGCAGCAGTAAAGGCAGGGCAGTACAGAAGGGGATACTAAGGTGGCTCTCCAGGATTGCAGACATCTCTCTGAATTTAAACCTAAATAAAGAGTGCTGTGTTCAGCATGGTCCAACTGGTCTAACAGTATTTGGCTATGCTGCTCAGTGCGCTGTTGACAGCTTTGACTTCATCTAAGCTTTGTAAAACAGCTTGCAAGGCTCTTGTGAATTTGATTTAAATGTTACGGTCTCTCCATATAGTCATCTCCAGAGATCACTCCATCCAAGATAACATACGAGTGCTGGAACTTTCAGACTTGGGCTCAATCTGACCCATCTCTTCCGGCTTTGGGAGCTGCTGATGACTCTAAGAGGCAGAATTAGAGACAGGAAGGTGGAGAGGCCTTGCATGGCATTCACTTCTTATTTCTCATCAACTGCAACTCTGTTTAGTTCTCTACCTACTCCTTGGTTTATTCCTTTCCCTAGTCTTCTGCACCTTTGTATTTTCAGGAGCCAAGGCCAGTTCCTCAAGCACTGGCTCAAGCAGTGCTGACACTGGACTTGGTCTAAAGCTGTAGTTCTTAGTTAAGAACAGCTCACACTAACACTTTGCTATCACATTCTTACCTGACAGGGAAGAAAATTATAACCACTAACCTTTCATAGAGGAGGAACCCAAATTACAGAAATACAAAGGGACTTTATAAAATATAATCAGTAATGAAGAAAGGGAAGTAGTAGTTCTCTGTTCACCCTCGATGTTCAAAGCACCAACATCAAACATCGAGTCCACGGTACAAGGCAAATTGAGAGGGAACCGTATGGAGTTTACTGAAAGATCACAGTTTTCCTGGAGTCCATTTTGTGTTGCATTTACACATAACATTTACCTAAAAACTATTATCTGCTGGAAAAAAAACTAAGTAGAGAACAATGTTTTTAAAACGTAGAATAACAGGTTCCCAAATATTATGTGAAAACAAGAAGTTCTGTTATGAGCTTTCTTAAATATATAGTTCAAGGCTATCATATACATTCAGATTTAAACAGTATGCTATGACAGCAGAAATACTCAAAGGTGGTATTCTCAACTCTGTACTTCTGCCTCTGCATTATATTGCTAGCATGCCTCTGTTGCCAATTTTGCAAGCAATTTAGCATTAAGCACTTTAAAAAAAAAAAAGCTGTGAGGAGAAAAGGAAGAAATGAGAAATTTAAAGGGAAACATAAATGTGGCAATTTTAAAAATCACCTGCAAAAGGAGGAAGTAGATTGGCAGAGCGGTGCCAGCAAGCCTAGACGCATCATTAAGGACGTTAATTTGTTTGGAGGAATGACTTTGCCAGAGAGCTGATGCATTGGCATTATTTCATGACAGGAACTATGTCAAAATCTCTTTATCAGACCCCTCAAGGCACTGTCTATTATTATGTATTTACAATATATATGTATTTTTTTCTACCATTTCAGTTTTGGGGCGATTTGAAATTTTTCATCCAAAAGAACTTTAAGCTTATTTATTCACTATTCAATATTCTGAACTATTCATGTAATAGTTCAGATTTTCATAAAATTGTTTTGTCTTGAATCTTTATCACAAGCTTAGCTGACCCTGACTCAGAAAAAGAACGGATAGGGTTAGAAATAATTTTATCTCAGGCTGTCTCCTTTTGCAAGAGCTACCTCACATATGGGAAATCCACACTGTGTTTCCTCTTAGTTCTGAAGGGATGTTTCCACATCCCAGCAGTTAAATCAAAGTACCCTAGCAAATGATACAGTGCTAAGCTTCCCACAAAGAATAATCAACTTAGGTAATAAAGGAACTATTATAGTACGAACACCTTCAGGTTGCAGCAAGTTGTAAGACAGTGGATAAACATTACCAAAAATAAGCCCTCAAGGCTTGCAATCCTACAAACTAAAATTGAATTTTCTTATACATAAGCTCATGGTATGAGAGGGAAGGAGGGTGAAAAAGGGGAGGAAAGTAAGAAGAGTTCACACTGACATAATAAATGACTTCTTTGGAAACCTTAAGCTTTGTTTTTTTGTTTTTAATCAATACAAATGGGATATAGTTGGTTTGCAGATATAAATAAAAACAATGTCTCCCACGTACATACTACCAAGAGTAGAATAAAATCTTTGAAAATGGTTTGAACATCGTCTTTCTCAGAAGCTTTAAACCTTCCCTCGCAGTGACATTAAGCTTTTGGTAAAAAGGCTGTCTCATGTTTGAAATGCATCTCCTAAAACTGAAGAAAATACAGAGTAAGAGAATATTCCAACAAATCACATCCTATAGAATGAAAAGCAATCCAATTGGCCTGCACTAACTTACTCCCTTGTATACAGAAAAGTACAAAGTGCCAAGATACCATACAAAATAAGTTTAGATCTTACTAGCCTAATGGAATGAAAAGTCAAGTTTTAGATAAGGGAGTGAGAAAACAAACATTTCTCCTCTCAGTCATTTAGCCCATAGCTCCCACACACTCTGGGCTAATGAATGATGGCAAACCATTGTGCACTGCCAACATTTCTTATGGGCCTCCACACATCTTTACCAAACTTCTGGGGAAAAGCCTATTTAATATGGTTTTGTGACCAGTTGCCCTGATCATTTACACTGCCAGTTGTCCACTCCATGATGAGCTATTTAGGTTGTTAGGTTTATGTTTAGGGAGAGAACTTGCCAAGAATGAGAGAACTGTTCCACATTTTTATGCATCTGTATAACTGAAAATGGAGTGATCACAAAACCGCTGTGATGTCAGCCATCAGTTTGGACTCCAGGAGGAACAGGCATGTAATTGCCAAGTTCCCCTTGCAAGTATATAGAAATTGTTAATACTAACTTGTTTCAGATTCTTAATACAAGCTCAAGAATCTGTGTTGCTTGCCAGGCACTAATGAGATGAACTATGTTAATTAGCTTAAAAAAAAAGTCCATTAAAACTGAACTACTGAATTGCACTAGTGTTGACTAAGAGATTTTGTTTCATTTACTCTCAAAGTTCTTTGCCAAATGCTGAAAGACACCACAAAGACCTTCCCACACGAGGAGAAAAGAAAGGTAATTACATGATACATGTCCATTTGATGTCAAGAATAAAATGTTGCATAAGTAACAATTTCAATCGATTTTTACAAGTCTTTCTTGGAGTAGAGATGATTCTTACCACAATTCATTAGTCTACTGTATTTAAAGAAAGCCTGCTGCTCATCAATTTTAATAGTTCTTCCTGGTAATGAAATATACACAAGACAGTGCAGCCACTGTAATTGCAGCTTCCATTAAATAATTGTCTTGATTACATCATGGTTGTTTATTACAGGTAATAAGATTTCAGAAATCAGCAAACATCAGTGCTACTCCTTTCCTTCTCTGTTATCTGTATGTGGTATTTGGTGTATATGGTGCTCATGTCTATAATTATCATTTTTTTCTACCACTACAGAAATATCACTATAAAACTTAAGATTAATTTACTTGATATCTGCATTGTCAGCAGTGACATACTGCATCTTTACATATTTACAAGGGCTGCTCTAAAAGTTATGCCTCCTATTTTGTTTGTCCACAATGTCAGAGGTGGATGTTGGCAGTATGGCTGTAGAGGTTGAACCTTCCCACTGTTACATCTTATTGCAATGTGAGATGGCAGAAGAGCAGCAGTCTGACAAAACGGAGTCTGACATGAAAATGTGTATGAAACAAAGGGGTGGAACCAAATTCCTCCACGTAGAAAAAATAGCATCCACTGACATTCACTGACACTTGCTGAATGTTCATGGAGACCAAACAGCAAATGTGAGCACAGTGAAGTGGTGCATGGAGCATTTCAGCAGTGGTGACAGGAGTCAACTCCTCTAGTGCATATTTGTGTGAGCATGGTATGTAAGCTGTTGTTTATTGCTGGCAAAAATGCAGAGCTAATGATGGTGACTGTGTTAAAAAAAAATAGCGTCTTGTAGCTCACAATTTGCTTTAAAGAGTGTTATTGTGCTCCTTGTATCTGCTGTTGTTTCCATGGAATTAAATAGGAGGCATTACTTTTGGAGCAACCTAGATATGTCATAGCAAGTATCTTCTTGCATCAACACCAAAACCTGCTTCTTGCTATACTTTTGCAGAACTGATTCAATACACTAACTAAACACAATTCAGAAAAAAACTTAGATGACCCTACGGTAGCAAAATATTTTTTCTGATTAAATATTCAGGTGAGTGCTATGATCCCAAGAGATTTTTAATAATTAATAATAAGACACTGAAAGTCCAACTGCATAAAAATAAGCCTGTATCTAGTCCTCTTTAACTGTAAGAATCAAGGATGATAAACAGATAAGTTAATTGCATTTTACTGCTTTTGTCACTTCTTAGAGTTCAGGAATGGAATAGATGGATATTACAGTAGCTCCCCCTGCTGATGAAACACAGCAGTCTTCCAGAATATAATGTATTTGCAAGTAAAATCATTGTAGCCATGAATTAAAAATTGATACCTCACTACTTAATTACTACACCAGTCTGAGACAGATCATAGCCTTCTGACATCCCAGCTGACTGCAGGTAAAAGAAGACATCCTCTGACTCACCTTTAAGAGGGAAAAAAGGGGAATTAAGTGGACTAATTCAAGACCTTCTGTCACTATGCTGTCCTCCCAAGGTAGCGATCTTTAGGTGACCACTCAATTTTTCTTAATTGATGTTATGAAATACATTAAACATAAACCCCAACCAAATATACTAATTCCTGTTAAGAAAATATGATTTATAATCTTTATTGGCTTACTTACACATAATAAATATAATACAGAACAAAAACATCACACCCATTGATTGTATTACACAGGCTGTTTACCAGAATACATTACATTGTCTTTTCACTAGCCCTTTTATAGGGTTTTGGTATTGGATATTAATAATTTCAATTTATAAATCTATCAACATGAGAATGATTTCCCCATTGTCACTTTTATACACGTGTCAAATAATCACACATATACCCATTTTGTTAAAAAATATATAAGCAGTATTTGGTATTTGCAATATAGGCCTATAATTTTCATTCATTAGATCTCTATTCATATTGAGAATTTCAAAATTATTAATAGCTTAAATTTGATTTTAATTAAAAATATTTATTGTATACTTCTAATTTAACTGAATCCCCTTCAGAAAATGAAGTGATGTGACAAAGACACTACAGGCAAAAGTCAATGTTCACTTCTAAAAAACAAAAGAGTAAAAGTTCTGGTCCTTGCTTCACCTGTATAAATCAGGAATAATGAAGACACTTATTTAGTACAGAAGGAAGGAAAGAACAAGAAGCCAGAGTTTCTGAAGAGACTTGCATCTTCATTTCAGAGTTACTACTGCCATCCTGCTGTTTTCTTGCATAAATCACTGCATCAAGCTACAATTATGATTTTCCTCTCTGTGAACATACTAATTATTAAACGAAAATTGGATTAAAATGCTGTTTCCTATAAAAAATAGACATGGTTTAACACATTCTGAAATCAAGTACTTAGGTGCAAATGCAGTATGCATCAGGCAGTTCAGGTTCTGGTCTTACTAAGGAAAATATTTAAAAGCTTATGTATAACACATTTCATAACAAATGTACACCTGGAACTATCTGTGCTCTCAGAACATCTGAATTATCATACAAACTTCATGCAAACAAATGTTTTTGTCATGTTAAAGTTTTTCAGTTGAAGCAATTTCAGAGTTCTCTTCAAATTACAGAGCTGAAATTAAGTACAAGATGTAATGCCAAAAGGACAAAGATACAAGCTATTGGTTTCATGCATCTTTCAATGTACAAGTTTTAGAAATGTAACAAATCAGACAGTATAAATATCTAAACAGAAGTTTCAGATGCAATTTTGTTTTACTAATACCCATCCCAAAGAGAACCTGAATAAGTTTCACATCTCTACAAGGACCCAGTCAGTTGTACGGTGCTGAAGTTGCTATTGCATGCTCATTATGCTTCTCTAATTCTATTCTATTAATGTCAACTTGAACTACTGCCTAAGCTTTCATGATAGCATTATGTAAATGGCTCTCAAAATTTTCAATTAATAGGCAGATCATTCATTTGTAACTGGTCTGTACATGGAACATGTAGGTCTTCATAAAAGAAACCCACCAACCTAAGAATCCCAAAATGCAACCAAGCAAATCCTTAGCATTTACATTGTAGTTCCAAATAAAATTCTTTCAAGATTTTTAGAGTCACAGAACTTAGGCATTCAGCTTCAAAACAAATTAATGATATTTTAAATATCTACATTCTACATTAAATCAAGATCAGAGAGATCAATCCATTGCACAATTATTGCCTAAGCATGTCCTATATTTAACTGTACTATACAGGCAATTACTTCAATGATCTTGCAGCTGGATCTCATATGCTGGTCAATAGGATATTTTATTTTCAATTTTTTTTTTTCCCCCTCTCACATAGGAAAAGGATACTGTTTGGGTGGAAATCCCCTGCTGTTCCTCTAGCTAAAGGTTAAAAGGAAGAGATTCTGAAATATTTTAAAAATCGATCATTGTGACAGAGGATCTAGTTTAATTTACATGAAAAAGTTTCCATTTATAGAGGAGAGAAGCATCACACTTAACAGACAAGAAAAACTTGAGGGCTGGCAACATCAGCAATACACTGAAGGATATGTAATGAGAGCAAAGTAATTTGCACATTATAAAGTTAGCTCTACACTATATACTGGCTACTTTCTCCTCAGCTCAATAATCAATTTTTTTAAATGAACTGTGAAAAAAATTCAGGAACATGTTAAAAGTCATACAAGCTTCTCTGCAGTTATTTCTGAGGCCATTCCAGTATCAATTCACATACATTCTGTGGAAAATGCAAAGAACTGCACACCTTCCCTGACAAAAGTCAAAAGTTAATTAAAAACAGAAGAAATCCAGATACAACTTCAGAAACTGAGAAACAGTTACTTAACTATTAACTCAGCAGCTAAAGAACTAAACAGCTACTTCTATTAAAATCCTCAGAGAAAAGCCTTTCATGCTCTTAAAAAGTTGGAGGTGACAACTAGATTAAACTCTGGATGCATTCCTCACCATGGTGGGCATTCCAGAAGTTGTCCAGTTGCCTATTAATACCAGACATAATGATGCAATACATCAGCTGGAAGGACAGTGAGAAGACATAGCTGAATGGTTACATTTATGTAAGAATTACGTGTTTTATGGCAGGTATATGACAATACAGATGATCAGGGCACCCAGTACAATCACAGCTGTTTAACTAGCTAGGAAATGTCCTGTTGCATTCTTTGCAAAGCAAATGGATATGTCAAATCTGAAATCATCAAAAAGTTAATCCTCAAAGCTGTGATCACATTCTCATTATTGACAAAAAATATTCTTCTAGTATACAACTAAGCAAAGCGATCAACATTTCCTACACTGTTGATTCTAAAAAAAAAGTCATGTAGCAAGACAAATCCACCTTCTAAATAATTAAGCTGCATGCTGGCTATAGGGAAATATATTTCTGTGGTCAGTAACAGCAGTATGTTTACCATTTTCACCAACACTAAATCCTTCAACTTTTATATTAGTGAAGTCTTTCAGGAAACTACTTGCCATGTATGCTGCAGATAAAAACACTGCAAAGACATAAAAGGTCAACCTGACTGCTGAGTATTTCAATAAAGTTTTATTTTATTAATGCTACCTATAATGCTGGTGAGCTTTGGATCAAATCCCAGTCTAGACAAAGTAACTTTACTGGAAAAGCAGACAAAAATCCCCAAAGTAAGCACACTTTGTAAAAATTTAATGATACGAGTAAATATGTTAGAATATTTATACTGGTACTCTACCCCAGAATCAGACTGCATTATTAGAGCATTGTCTAACTCTGGAAATGAGTGTCGCTGTTGTGTCTCAGGCAACTATTTATGTACATGGCGCATATTATGCTAAAGCAGGAAAAAAGCCACACAACTTGCAGAGTCAATTTGAAATGGACATATATCCAAAAGCTAATGAAGTATCGGACAGAGTGCATTGTACAGACACCTTAAAATGCTGTTAACATCTTCACCATGATTCACCTAGGAAATCAGAAGCAATTCAACATTTGAAAGTCATTTGATGTGAAGTGTTTGAGTGCAACCTGAAAGTTTGCAACAATTTTAAAAGCAAGAATTAGTTACCAGCTCTTACAATGCATGCTATTATCCATATTTCCCTGAGAAATCATGTCATGCAATAAACATGTAAAGCTAAATGCACAATTAATGCAGTCCCAGATTAGAAAAAAACAAAACATGCATAACAACTCTTAATGAGCCATCAACACTTAAATACTATTGCAATCACAGGTATTAAATTGCAGACACTATATAACAGCCCTAACAGGAACTGTAACTCAAAGCTTGCATGGAATAAAGAAAGCTGATTAAAAGTACCATTTTACAGTAAGTCACATAACTCAACTTTCTGTTTTTAATATCAGTTTGTTTCTTGATTTTTGAGTTTGCAACTTCCTACAACTTCATTTACAAACACTGCCTTACTGAGGCTTATCTATTTTCATGTGTGTCACAGTTCAGCTCTTCAGTTTAACTACTCTTCCTCCTCCTCCGATAACCTTAGCTTAAGCTCAGTAAATTCATTTTCCTAGGATAGGATGTTCTTTTTAGTAGGGAATAGCAATGGCAATATTCATCGCAAAGAGATAGAACTAAGAACTACAAAAGAAATTCTTAAACCACTTTACTTAAGGCAACTGTACTAGTAAACAGCAGTGCCTAAGCACAGTGAAAGAAACTGACAATTACAATAGCACACACACAGAAAAAGCAATTCAGTGGCTCTTCTGTTTTTGCTAGGATGTCACAGGGTGGTATGCAAAATGTGTAGCAGCACACTAGGTCGAGTATCACATGCAGCACCACAGTTTCTCATTTGAGGAATACCACTACTGAATACCATATTGTGACAAAATACTTGTGCATTTGCTCCACCCCAACCTGTGCCCCAGCCTGCAGCTTCCTGGTTGATGCATGCAGTACGCTAGCACAGCTCCCTGGCAGGCTGGATCAGCTGCATGCTGCATGCTACATGCCCCACATCAATTTCCAAGCCAACATGCAAGAAATGTGATGCACATGGACAATAGAAATATCAGGCCCTCCATGTCTTTAGTGGGATTCTTGTGCTCCATACTTTCCAAGTAACTGCTAGGTCAGTATTACAGCTACAGCACCTCTCATTTTTGGCATGACTGAAAACTAACAAAGTAGCTAGAAATCTGAATTGATTTTTCCTCCTTTGTTCTGGATTGCAGCACACAGGAGACATAACTAAGCAAGACTCACCAGAACCCTAAAAGCTAAGACAGGCTATATTGGCACTTAGCAAATTGTCCTAATCTCTTCCATATATAAAAACAGAACAAAAAAAAACCCCAGTCACACACAGAAGAGATTCTTGGTTTGTCTCATAGCATTGCAGGAATTAGTTAAACTGTTTGACAGAACAATATATGTAGTACTCATTTTCCATTTTGTAGGCATGGGAAATCACTGTTGTTTAGGCATCTCATGGCATTCAAAGAAATGCTTGAATTAAGAATTCTTTTTTCCTTGTTAAATTGCATGTGCTTCCTACAGGAAGCAAATCAGAATAAAGACATCCCCAAAGTGAAACAGTAAGAACACCAATTTATGCTAGCACACAGCGGTAAGATCTGCAAGAGTCCCTTCACATTCCAGTTGTTTCATGAGGAAAAAAAAATACCAGTATGTCACCATTACATCAGAGGTACCTGAGAATCAAAGCTAAATCTCTTGTGCATTTACCAAGCACCCATTAGAGAACTATGCAATTTACATTTCAAATAAGACAATATATTTATAAAATATTATTGTACTAAAAATCACAAGATTTTATAGAAAAATCTCATCACATTCTATTAAACAAGGAACAACGTTACATATCATAGCTTCAGTAAATAAAATTGCAGTGTATTTCTTGTAACCACAGGGGCACCACTCCTTAAAAATCCATGGTGTTTCAAGAAGAATAGTTTGCTTTTTATTCTTTATTTTATCTTTTCTTTGCTTTTTATTTTTTAAAGGACTGTAATTTAATGCCAAAAACCTGTTCAAGCTACAAAGTGCCAGAAGATTATAATAGTAAATATCTTGAAAAAAGATTAACACGTCTTTTTTGACAAAAAAAACAAAACAGCAGGAAGGCCTTAACATTGAGTTTGGTGAACAGAAAGATTACTAGGTCAGAAGAACATTCTCATAATACTTAGTTTCAAGTCTAACATAATAATGCCATTTAACATAAGTCATATACATAGAAAGCTATGATAAGCTTCCATTTTAAGTCATGAACATAAGGACAAATATGAATAGCAACTGCCCACCATGCGTTATCAATCCATTCTATCAATCCAAATGACCAGTTTCAAAAGACAGTGTTAAAATATCCTGCTGAAAATACTATTATTGCCAATTTGAGGGCAAACTCAGCCTTCCTAGAGTTAGTTTGACAAAGCTGTCACTGATAAGATGCTATACAGGAACAGGTTAAAATCTATAGTTAATGGCTGAAATTAACATCCTCTAATCTGTCCTAATTTAGAAAAAAAAATCCCACTGTAAACTCCTTTTACCAGTGAAATCCCTGAAAACTCTAATGAAGTCAAATATAAAACTAGTTTTTCTTACTATATTTTCAACTGTTGTACTATTGGGCTTTCCAGTTGAAATGAAAAGTTTTTCAAAATGCCTACATAAATTTAATAAACTTATGTTTTTCTGCTTTTATTTTTTTATTTTAAAAACTATTTCAGGTATACAAATATAGACTTACTATCTCAAAAGACACCTCAGGTAACTGAAACTTTTAATGTAGTTCAATATCAAGAAATGGAAGGAAAAAATTGATAAAGGTGCAATACTCAACAAGAACAGCCCCCAGATTCACTTTTTTCCCCCTAGTATTTTTTTCCTTCTCTACATTCAGAATTTTACATTCTAGCTGCTGGTTGAATCAATCCTTCTAAAACTCACTAAGTACACTGCTTTCTTGAATTCTATGTATTCTATCAGTTGTATCATCATGTCACCTCTTGGAAGGATCATTACTAGAGGTTCAAAACATGAAAAGCCATTTGCTTTGTTATCCTTTCATATCTGTATGGAAAGATAAGAATACGCTGTTATTAATAGCCTTGTTATGTGGAAGAGAATATACTACCAACTGAAAAATCTGTCCTACATTCATTATAAGAAAACAAAATCTATCAAAAGCCTTTTTTTTTCTTTTAATAGAAGTGTCTTATAGGCCAGAAGTTGGAAAATGTCACTGATTTATTTCAAATATCCTTGAACATAATTATTCATAACTTCTCAGAATCAAATAAGACAAAAGCTGCAGTAGAAGGAAGATACAGGTTGTAAAGAAAGCAATCAGTTTTAGAATAAATTTATTAATGCAACTGGAAAAAAAAAATCAATGCAATTATTTTTATCTTTCACACTGTTTAGTAGATTGCTGTAGTGCCAACCCACAACTGAAAATTTTAACAACTGATTGGGATCCCTTTCCTAAGTTGGCAACTACAGAAATGAAATTTTTCAAATTAAGCCTTCTATATGATATCATTTGGAATCTTAATGTGTTACAGAATTGGTCTTCTTAAGGGATTGTTTTTGAGAACGTCCACCCAACATACTGTAATTATAAATATTCTTTCATTCACTAAGATTTTAAACATTCCAGATCACTAGAAACAAAAGATTTTTAAACAGCGGCACCCACTGCCGTTACAAGGCTTCTCAGAATGGGATAAGACAATATATATGTAGTGTTCCAGGACTGTACAAAGATCTTGCCTTAATAATTACAAGAATTCACTTAATAAATTATTTTACTATTTCCTCTATTAATATGCAAATAGTTTATACAACATAAAAAAGTTAATTTGTACCTACTACAGGTAACGTATCTATTTAGCTTTTCATCTGAAAGCCTGTAAGACGTGATGACCTGCAAACTTATTTACATAACTCATTTGAAAGTGTTTTTTAAAATAACCTCGTCCAGCATTTAACAAAACTGAGAGTTAAAAAGAGAAAGAAATCACTTAACAGCATTCATTTTCTTGATTTTGTCAAGTAACTTCACCAGCTCAGTGTAGTAAGGCAGGTTGGTTGCTCAGATGGACTAAGATCCCCTACGATGATATGCATGGAGTAAATTTGTTCATTTATAAAATCAGATGAAAGCAAGAAAGATGTTTAAAGTTTCCACAAGAACAGAAACTTCTTATTTTTACTAAAAATTCAGAATAGGCACTGAAACATTACTCCTTTGGGACTTTTCCAGAAGATTGTCTCTTCACTAGGCATCAATCCATTTTTAAACTGAGCAAAAAAAAAGAAAAGTTATCAGCACCACACAATTAAAAATTACAACAAATTGCTATGCATGCTAACTTCCATCTTATAAATAAACTAAGGAAAGAGCTTGTACAAAGTTTAAGACATTATGATAACTCTTCTTAGTACTATTCTTTTTAATTTTGCTGTTATATTTAAGCAACATTGGGGAAAAAAAAAGTACAGTTCTGATCATTCAATTTTCTATGTTCTTTGGCTAAAACAGACAGACTCAACTATCTGTAACTTCAGAGCTTTGTGTAGTGCCCCACCTTACTATTTTCCAAACTCCCAAGGTATTCTTAGGTAATACTGTTGTAATATACTGCATCTTTACCCACTAAAGGCAGAAAAAAAGGTAAGAATAATGCTTGGTATAGAATAAGAGTAATTTTGACATTTCTTTAAAATTCTACCTATCAATTCAGAACAAGATTAACTGGATGCTCTGGAAAGAGGTGTTTTTGTAACAAATGCCATCATGAAAAATCAATCCTCACTTTTTACTGTATTGCTTATTACCTTTTGCCTATGAACAGCAGCTATCTCCATCTTGTGAAACACTATGCATAGGAATAAGACTTTCACACTGCTCACTTTCTTCTGGTATTCTTAAAAGAAAAGAAATATTTTTCAATTATATGGTAATAAGTTGGCTACAAAACAGCCCATTTATTAAGTACTAAGTGAGCGACAGATGTTTGAACTGCAGCCATCGCCAAGACATACAAATCCCACTCACAAAGTTAACACATTTTTCACTGTATGTTCCTAGGTATAGCAACTACCAGAACAACATTCAATAAATAAAACTGTGATAGCTACTTGGAAACTTCTTTGGAATTATGAACAGAATTCAGGTATTCCTGTTTTCTGAATAGCACACAGGTTGATACATGGATTGGCAAATACTGCTCAAAAGAGAATTAACTACTGAGGTCCATCTTAGATGAAAATAGATACAGTATGAGTGCTGTGGCTTACAGAAGGCTATGACATACTGGAAAGGCTAAAGGAGAAATGGGATTGGGAATGGGATTTTGTTGTTACCCTACCTCTGAATTCGATGTTTTCTACAAATAAAGGCAAAAACTCTTCTGATTCCCACCATCACAGGATCCCAGTTGTTATAATGACATAACAGAGTTACAATGAAAAAAGAAAAAAATACAGGGACTGCTCCTGCAAAAAACAGCCAAGAAAACTGCACCTGGAATCAAAATACAAACATCAGTCATTCAACAGTGTTTCTAAAAAAGCATATTGTGTATTAGAGTAATTATTATCAAACAGACTTAGAAGCTTAAGGTGCATTTTCAGTTCTTTTGAATTGGTTGAAATCCTACAAATATTTTTGCAAATTATTTGGTACAGTTTCTACAGTCACTGCTACTTCTAATAGGTGAATAACCTTTCTTCTGTTCCGTACATTCAAACACACAGTTTGTGCTGTGGTGTGAATACACTCCCATTTTTAGGCTGTAGCTATCTATTGGATCCAAATGAGGAAGTCTCTTGGGACTTTGATAAAAGCTTTGACAAGCAGGTCAGACAGAAGAGCTCACCTCACAGATATGTGCACCTGACCATTCACTGTGAACATCCTGTCTGAACAGTCACTGCTGAAATCACTGCCCATAAATAAAACTATGCAATTCAAAAGTTACCACATTTTTTTCATTTAAAAAAGCAGAGCACATTACTTGTCCAATTTGAACTAAATTCTTCTTGTACCTTTCCCACTACTAGCAATCACCATTTAAGACAGTTTTAAACTTAGAAGGTTACAGAAGTGAAGGGTGCAAGAGCTCCAAGTGCATAAGAAACATCTGTAGGGCTAACAGAGCAATGAAACATAAGCACAGCTCCCTCTGGTGGAAACACAATTGGAGATTTCAGAGGAAAAAATTACAGTTTCAATACCCGATACCAAGTACTGATGCTCACTCTCAGTATCTAATAAACTGCAGTTGTTAGATGTGTTATGAGGCATCACCTAGCACACAGCTGCCTAAGAAAAGTAAGGCATTGGATTTACCCTGAGGAAGACAAAGCAGTCTTCTCAAACAAGGCAAAGACGATTAAGAAATAGGAAATAGCAAGTACGTGGGGCAGAACCTCCAGAAAGAGGCAGGTGTGGCAAATGGAAAAAAGGAAGGATGAGTGGAAGAGGCAATGAAGATTCAGGTTATGAAAGATGCACATAAACAGAGACAACACAGGGAAGTGAAGATTTAACAGTGAGGAATATGAAAAGAGAAAATGAGATACAAGATGTGAAGGAAGTAGATTGACAGTTAAATACATGTGATTGGTTTTGTTTTTGTTTTTTTTTTTCATAAATACCAATTACACATTAAATGGAGTAACACAGTGATAATAATGATAATTTTAAGCGAGTTAGAAGTGTCAGTTCCTCTTAAGTTACCAACATCAACTGAAAGTCATCCAACCAAATTTTAAAAGATGATTTCAAATGCCCTTAATATTGCATGAGTACATGAAGAAGAAATTTGTTTTTAAGGATCTGGGCTCTGTGTTTTCTCAGGTTAAATAGCCTAGAGAAGAAACACTTTCTGGAGAATTAGAAAAGCACATTCCAGTGTTCAGCATACTCCAGAAGAAAGTTTAGATTAATTACTTCAGAAAACAGTCTAAGCTTTCCATATATGTATAAATATAGTTGTAATTGCTATATCTAAAAATGTATTTGCACACACAGTTCCATATCTAAAATTTGCAGAGATTAACACATACTTAAAAAAGCAACTATTTTTGCTACTAAAACCTGCTCACATATAAACCTTTTCCCACCTCACTGAAGTGTTCTGGTTTTCTCTGAAATATGGGTGTTTTTTTTTTCCCTGTTTGTTTCTTTAATATATATCATGAAGTATTTACATCCGTGTTGCAGTTTATATCACAAGTGGACACTGCAGGTGTTAACAGCAAAATGAATGCACTTATCCTACCAGTGAGTGCTTTATTATAGGTAGAATAACTGCAAGCTTTTGCTCTATTTCCATGTTGAATACTTAGCTAATGCTAACACAAACAAACTGAATCTTGAATGTTCACCATGTAAGTATTTATTCAGGGTTTGTTTCTCCTTTTAATTTCTAATTTGACTTTCCTTTTACTATTTTTATCCTTCTGTTTTTCTGCTTTACTTCCTCAAAATCCACACTGACATCAGGCAAGAGTGAAATACAATTTTGGTGGGTTCTTTTTGGATCAGCTATTCTAAGTGCAAAGTTCATTGACTAATTTCTTCTGTGTATGTACTGTGCAAAGCACAACCCTAAAAGAAACAGAAAAAAGCTCATCTGTAGTAAATGAAAAGTCACAGATTGTACTACCACAGATAACATACGAGCCACATTTGTTCAGGGAAGATACTACTCAGGAAACACTCTGTTTAAGTTATATTCCAGACATCGCCAGAATTTTTGTCTCCTCATATTTTCATATTGTAAGCTCTATGTGAAAACTCAACACAGCCATATTTGCTTAAGGAGTCAAGAGAAAAATCAAAGCAGTGTAAACAAACAAGTCGACAGACTATAACCATCAGTCTACCTGAAATTTCAGGATTAGTACTGTATGCTTAGTTCTGAGTTTGGATAGTTTTGTCATTTTAACTTCTACCACCTTCAGTTAAGCTATTATGTGACTAAGTTCCTTCCTGATTCACATGAAGATTTATCATCCCAGTTCTTTAACTTCTTATATTTTGGTCACAGACTGTAGTTAGGCCAAGGTGCTCAAATGCTGACCAATTCACACTTTTCAGCCCAGAGAACACATTACCAGGCACATAATTTTAGCACCAGCTTTCTAAATTAAAAAAAAAAAAAAAAAAAAAGAAAAACCAAAGCCACCCATAGCACCCTCTTGCAGCCTCTCCATCCCACACAGGTATATGCACACCTAACATAAATGAAATACAGGTGTTACTGAAGGTCAAAATGTAAGCAAGCATGCAATGGCAATGCTTAGAGTTTAGCAATGCTACAGACACCTGCATCTACACTGAGAGATGTGAAACTTGTAGCCACGTTGGACAAGGTGGGGATGCCCACCTCAAAGAAGTCACTATCATGATTTCAATAAAGATCACTTGAACAGTAAATGCATTAGAAAGAAAATGAGTTTGAAAGCTATTTCCAAAAAGTTAAACAGATGGTTTAACTTCCAAATTAAAATTTAACTTTGGAAATTAAATTTTTAACAGTATGGATTTAAATCCAAAGTGAAGCCCAGAAACAAGTAACTGATCCTGCCTTCAGGAAATAGAAGCAATTCCTTGACTTCAACTTAAAGACAAAAAGACAGTAATTGTATGCTTGTAGAATATGCAAAATAATAATTAAAAAAATATATATTAAATTAAGAACTTAATTTAATTCTTAAATTAAATTCTGCCACTGATTAAATATTAAATTCAAATATTCAGAATTGGAATTCATGCATAAATAAATACTTAAAAACTGAAAATTCTACCCAATCAGCACAAGAAGAAAAATATTGGTAAAGCTTTAAGAGTAATATAAGCTAACTTCATATAGCTTCTATTCTAAACTGGGTATCTGATTCTTTTTCTCCCTTTTTACACAGGGTTTATCCACAATCATTAGCTCAGCAAGAATTGAAAGTTACCAACTTCAATTGAGAACAGTTACATGAACGCCTAACATCTACATCAGCCTAACAATGTGCAATTAAGTCTGGTAGCTTTTACATGCCTCTGCAGTAAACACATAGGATTTTGATTTCATCATTAATTGAGTATTTTCAAGATAGGCAATTCTGCCTAAGATGCCTTAAGATGCACTGTACTTTAATTCTGAAAAATTCCTGTTATAATAAAGCATTTCATCAGGCATTATCAATGACTTAGGGTACTTTTCATCCAAGCACCATCTTAATCATACACACACACACACACACACAAGTATGCAAGTGATAAAGTGCAAAATTACTATGACTGTCAATATAAGGAAAGGATTAATTATAATGCAGTTCAACAGTTCTTAACAAGTGACATTAAAAGCAAAACACTACTCATTGTATACATCATTTAAAATAACACTGCCATTGAATTGAGGGAAAAAAAGGAGAGAAGTCTGAGTCTGTTACCAATGCTCAAAACTTAGCAGTACATTACCTTTTGCATGCACATGTCAGCTATTATGGACAGAGGTATCGTAAGGCTTAGAGCAAGTGTGCCTATCAGTGATGAGGTAAGAAAGCAGCCCCTAGAAAATAATAATTAAAATAGTAAAGAAGTCTTACCTCAAAGTCAAAAGACAACTAAAGTAATACATCAAGCTGCAGAAGGAATTTGATTAAGTTTAACTTTCAGTTATTTATGTAATAATCAGAATTTGTGACATCCATACTGTCAAAGATTTATAAAACTATATACATTTCTTATGTAGACTACTGATGCCTTCAGGAATTAGGTTTATTTCCCATACAAATCTTTTGAGATGACTGAGGATGCACTACCTCAACACACAGTGATTCTAAGTAGAAAAATCTGTATTGTGTTCCCATCTTGAAATAACTTAGTATCAGCTAAGTACCAACTTGTCCATCTCACTAGTTAAAAAAAAATTACCTGTGCCAAGAAATCTTATCCAAAAAGATAAATATTTTTGACCAACAGAGGAATTAAGTTAACAGACTGCGTCTGCTACAATGCACCCTTCAAATCATTCTTCTGAGTTTTAGTGAAACTTCTCTGCTTGGTACAAGTGGTCTCATCATATTACATAAGCAAAAAAGTAAGACTTCTAAATCATTTAGTTGCAAAAGAAAACAAACAAAAAAAATCATATTTCTGTTCTTAAGTGATGGAACAACAACACTGTGTGCGTGTATCAGTAGCAGGCACAGAAAACTAACCTTTCTTCCCAAATTTATTTGCAAGCGGTATTCAGTTTTGCAAAGAATTGGTTTACTGAATAGAGTTGGAAAGAAAAAAAATCTCAAAAGTATATGCAACTACAGACCTAAGATAATATGTAAGCTCCTAAGATCTTCTGCACTTTGATGCAACCCAAATGCTCTATAAATAAGTTTAACTGTCTGAGCCATATTGATATCAAGTGATATATATATATCACTTGATGAATAAATGCATACAATACAACTCAAATATGACTGCCCTAGTCAGAAATTGCCAAGTATAAAGTAAGTCTCGTTAGCAAATGCTCCTCTATGAAACTGTGTTCTACCACATAAAGAAAATGAATACAAGGTGCTATCTACCCATTTCAAATCAATGATGTTCACTAGTGGGCTGGGGTCTTCTATTTCAAAGGCATCTGGATTCTTTTATTTCTTTGTTTAAAACAAAGCCAATTCTTCTCATCTTTGAGAAGCACTGAAAATCAGTGCTAGCATGTTCTTACCCCCATACCAGTACTTGATTTGGAGAGCCAGTGTTTTCACTGTCTTTTAGTTTTTTTAATTTTGCCTATATTGAAATTGCATTTAATCTTTTTACCAACCTGCTGTATTCTACTCTAGCCTTATATGAAGGCATTAGCATCACAAAAGTATTTAATCAAACTAAGCAAAGTTAAAAGAGAATATATTCTGCAATGCTTTTTAATTAGGACTGGTTAAAAAATTGCCAATAAACATCATTATGGAATTTCCTAAATAACACTGTCCTTCCAGGAGATGCACAAAAGTTTTCAAATCTGCTATAGTTTTTGAGCTTTTCACCTAGAAATCTCCTTCTTGTTCCACCCTCTGCTGCAGACCAATCCAGACTTACCGTATCATTAAATGAACAAAAGTTAAGCTGATGTATGAATTACCATAGTTGGGTGATTAAAGCATTTTAGTGTGATTTGGTGCAGTATTTCTCTGAAGAATTAAACAAGCACATCAGCTACAGAATACTTATTTACTGGATTCTGACTCATATTTCCACACAGCTTCAGAAACTGAAAAACTGTTAAAATAGAAATTCATGCTATCCTATCACTACTGTGACTCTATTCTACTAAGTCTTTTCATCTCAAAATGTGAGTTCTGTAGCAAACTATGCACACAATATCTTAATAAATTCTCTATATAACACACATCACTTGCTCTTTAAAGAAAGCCGCTGCTCTTAAACAGGACATCACGATTGAATGGATGACACCCTGCAACTCAAGCTAGACAGCAAAAATCCTACCAATTTAACATCCCAATATTTGCTGACACAGTTAAGACAATTTATACTGTGAAATTTAAATGAATAGTACATACCATAACCAGAGGAACTCTGACAGAACTGTTCCAATAAGGCCATTAATGACAATGCACATCCATATCAGTTTACTGGGAAACTCAAATGCTTCAAAGCCAGTATAGTGAAGCAGAAAAAACCCTGGCCATAGCAGCAGTAGATTGAACAGTCCTACAAAACCTGAGTATAAAAACAATATTAAATTAATAAAAATAAATGTCATTCAGCATCAATGAAATCTTAAACTCCACTATTCTGACAATACACATACATAGAAGATGCAGCAAATCAAGGTTTTAAGTCTTTCAGAGAGAGGAATGTAAGGAACTTTACCACTAACAGACACCATTAAGAACAGATATTTGCAGTTTTGAAACTGACAATAAAGAAATCCACTGAATCAAAAGGGTCCGTCCACATTCCTACAGGTAGTGTTATCTGTGATTGTTGGCAGTACAAACAAGAAACCTCTCACACAACTAGTTTCCTAAGTACTCATTAACCATGGCAAAACAAGCCTTCCACTGCTCTTCTAAGCCCTTTAACTCTTCGTATATGTTAACTGCCTGAAAGCAAAGAATTTAATCACACTGAATTAAATGTTTCAATAACATTGTTTTTATTCTTACCAAAGAACATGGGTATATCGAGTTTATCTTCTCTATCTACTTTTCTTTTTATCATCACTATGTACACAGCATACAGCATTGCTCCTACGAGAGACCAAAGGGAACCTGTAAAGATGAAAAACACCAGCTTAAGACACGTCACTTATCACATGCATTAGGATCAGTTATTCAAAACATACCTATTACAAAGTTGTCAGAGGTACAAATTCTTTATATGGAATCCATCACAATGTAAAGAATATGGAAAATGCAGAAAGCTCAAAAATGTAAACACTGAGTCAGTTAAGCTATAAACTACCTTTAGAAGTTGAAACTACAGAGACGGTTTGTGAAGTGTCAAGTATGAAACACAACTTCAGTACAACATCCTGAGTATTATCGAGAGATGGTACTCATCACCGCACAATCTACAGTTATAAAGTAAGTAAATACCTATTGTATCTCTTCCAGGAGATTTCTCAGATCCAGAAAGGTTAACAAGTACCACACCACCAATGCTAGCAAAAAAGAAGAAATGCAAAATGCTACTTAAAACACAAAAGCTTTTTTAAAAAGATGAAAAAAAAGGAAGGAGAAGAAAAATTTCATAAAAGAGTTCAACCTTTTCATGGTCTTAATTAACCATAACAACTGACTTCTGGCATAGCCAAAAGAAACGCTATATTGTTAAGACCTGATCCAAAGATATAAAACAAACAAAAAAACCACTCCCCCATACAGTGCACCAGGCATCTAATAAAGCAGGCTGACAAGACATCATATGTCAAGTCACCTCCATTTTTCCAATATACATTGAGAAATCAGTTTAAAAAGTAACCACACATTTCCAACAGAAACTTGATTAATCTTATTTTCTATGCAAGCATGAACTTGATAACTGTTCACAATATGCAGTATTTAAAAAGACATTTTCCTCAATTTCTCTGAGGAGCAGGGATTTAAAAGCACATCAGTATATTGTCACAGACACCACAGGTATGTTTGCCTTCTCAGCATATCATGGAGTTTTTGATTAAATGCTCTATTGCATTATCTTACCTTAAAAAAACTGCCAATAATTTGGACAGAGTAAATCTATCTCCACTGTTACTTGGAAAGACTGCAGCTAAGATTAAAGTAAAAAGCCCTGCAAGACAAAATGAGAAGAGTTTGTACAATTCAGTTTTGCTACTAGTTTGCTCAGAAAACAGCACTGACACTTTATGCTTTATATTTCACACACTGATTTCAATTACAGGATCTTAGCACCCATAATTTTAAATGGAGCTGTTATGAAACCAACACATCATGGTCTGAATCCTCAAATGAACGAATAAATACACACAACTAGAACAGCTGACATACTAACAAACAGCCTGAAAAGTCAGTGTGTTTTTCAAATTATTTTTTATAAAACAACTCAAAACAGAAATATAATTTTAAAGCTCATATTTGAAACCTTTGAAAAAACTATAAAGATATATACAATATTTAGATGGTATAAGGTCTATACACCCAAAAAGTCTTCCTTTAAATTACCAAGATAGCTTTACTCTGAATTGTATCTATTTGACAAACATTATACCACCTTCCTTCAAACTTACTTTAAATATAGATACACACACATATGCTCCTTCAAAAGCAAAAAGCGGTGAAATCATAAAGAAAACCTAAGACTTTGCAATTGCATAGTGACATTTAAAATAGATTTTTTTCAAATAGTTTTAAGCCTCATCATTTCCACAAAAACACAGCTAAAACATTGCAAGTAATGTGTACACAACCAAAAATAATTGTATGTTATAAAGCTTTATAATGCACATCTGATTGTGTAATTGAAACCTACCAGAGGTTGAAGACAAGATATTAACTATGGCAACTTGGGTATCTGATAGAGCTTCTTGGTAAGAGAAATTTGCCAAGAACCACTGGAGGATGAGAAAAATAATTTCGTGATTACATTACATGACAGAGACAAAATTAGAACAAAATTAAACCAACCGCGTTCAGATACATGTATAATAATGGAATAACATACTTCAGAACTTCAACGTAATTAAATCACATAATGGTAACACATTATCTAAAGGTACTTTTATCTTGAAGAACTTGCAAAACAAGATAATTACTGCAGATGGGCCGCAAAGAAATTTCCAGAGATACACGGGATATTAGTCAGCCTAATCTTCGTTCTAAAAAGCAAACAACACTTACACTTAATGCCTCAAAAAACTTTGGAAAGATTCATGTCGGTCAATTCCCTCAAATATAAAAAGCAGCAAGTGCTTAAACATTTCTTCATTTACATCTCATTAGGAAAATCTCTAGATTCACAAGAAAGTTACTCTCTGAAGACTGAGACAAGGCTATTTGTACTGTCCAGGAAGAAATATACAGACACGCTATTAGCAGCATCCATGAGTGGGATGAAAAGGATTTGTTTTGAACGTAATAACTTTAGTCTAGAAAATCTGCATGTGTATATACATGGAAATACATTCAGACCATTTTCATTGAAGTCTGCGTAGATGTAACTCCAGATTTTGCTGCATTAAACATATCCAATATTGGACAATAGGACCTGAAAGCATGGAAATCGCTGTGTATCTTTTACAACTGACCTTATAGCTAACTAGAACCCCAAGATTTCTTTTTATTATCCTCCTTTCAAGGAGTTGCATGCTTATGTTCAGCATGAGGCAGGTTTTACTATTTTACTAATTTTTTTAGAAATTAGAAATAGAAATAATAAGTTTTACTAATATTTTTTAGAAAAAGAGGCATAAAGAATACAGTTCCTCTCAATGCTCTATAGATAATTTTCACTATTACTGTACAAGTTTTAATTGCATCTACAGTTTTCTGAAAAGAAAAAAATCAGAGCACATACCACAAAGCAAAAGAAAAAGCTAATCTTTGCTACTTGAGTTGCAGTGAGTTTTCCTACAGTTTTTAATATTGATTCCTGCTCCTTAACTGCTGGGTATGACATGCGAGACAACTTTGCTTCCAGCGCGTGGCTCGATGGGAGCTGCCGAATCTCCATGATATTACTGAACCTCACACGAGGCTTTTTGGGAGCTTAAGAGGAAAAAAAAAAGAAAAAAGTTGCACAGGATCATTAAACTTCTCAAGCCAACACAACATGCTAATAAAACTATGATGTTTTAATATAGCATTGATTACAATACTCCCCAATTTATGACAAGTTTTTATCCAAATAGAAGACTTCCCACTATTTTTATTTCTTACAGTACTGTTTTGCTATTTGGTAGGTTGCTACTGGAGCAGAATATAGTTACTGCTTTAAATCAGTACAATTGTCTATCTAAAAAAAAAAAAAAAACAACCAAAAAACCCCACAGCATTGAAAACAGCATCTTTCCTGTCAAAAATACCCACAAGACAACAACGAAGTTTTAGTTAGGGATTATTCTGTATTGATAAATATTACAAGCAAGATTGACTGTTAATCTAATGAAGAAAGTTAACCAAAAACTACACACAACTATACCTAACTGCAAGGCCAGTTATTCAGAGTATGAGAGTGTCCAGCAGTTGTCAAAGCTTAGCAGACATCACAAGGTCACTTCCTCATTTGAAATCCCTAACTAATCAGAATATCAGCACTAGACAGTTCCAGATTTCATTTATAAGATTATTGTAGTATTCTTTTCTTATGGAAAGAAAACATTACATACTACATACAAATATTAACTTGATTTGATATGAAGCAATACCTCATTTTCCAAAATACAAAAAAAAAAAAAAAGAAAAAAACCTTCTAGCTAAAGCAATCATCAAGTGATTGGTACCTGCTACCACAGGACAGCAGAGCCTAACAAAGCAATTCTAAAGATGTCATTTAGAAACTAAGAGACTTTCTCCTTTATAACCAGGGACCCTTTTGCTGAGGATCAGACAACTGGACTCTTCGACAGCCAACACTTCTTTAATTATCTGGGACAGCTAGGCCTGTTTCAGCTACTATCACATGATAGTAAAGCTCAAATAAAATCAGAATGCACATAGACTGGTAAAATTCTTACTTTGACTGCTTTGCTCCTGCTCTAAAAAGGACAATAGCTTGTTTTTCCAGAGGCTCACTGCTGCTGGTCATACAAGCCCAGAAGGAAAGAATCACAAGTACTGAACCCAGTTGGTCCCTTGAGATAAACATAGGCTGGATCTGTAGTGACCAAGAAAGGTAAACTGAACAATAGGCCTATGTTTTCTCTACCTGAAAGTAAATATGAGACTGCAATTCATGCATCATGAGATTTAAGGGGAAGAGGGAGAGAGAAAGAAAAGAAAAAAAAAAAAAGGTAAGTCCTGCAACATGACAGCAGTTATATCAACAAAGAAGAAATTAAAACAAAGAACTAGCATTTCAGTATTCCAGAAAATCTTTACTCACTTTTCTCTGTATCATTATTATTACCGCCACTCTTTTCAGTTGGCAAATCATGGAACTTTACAGGAACATATAAAGGTTCGCTCTGAAAAGATGCAGTGCAAGTAAAATACAATTAAGCAGGATATTTAAATTATAAGCAGAATTAAATTCTTCAAAACTAAACACAACAAAAAGATTGATGAATAATAAGAAAACCATTTTTAATTGAATGTCAAGAATGCTCATATATTTTACATTCAACACACTGGTATTTGACCGCTGCATTTTACAACTGTGTGCTTTTGAGCATATCCCTCATGAACACAAAGGTCATCCCTGAAAAATTAAAACCTACTGATTTAAAATTAGAAAATAACTCAAAAATCACAGAAGTTTCCATAGATCTATAGCCTCTGCCCAAACGCAAAACTAGAAACAGAAAATATGGCATATCCATACAAAAGTGAATCTATTTGAAACCGGTGAACTACAACTAACTGTCAAAATACGTGTCTGGGAACAGAACTCCGGTATTCAGGATACTTTGCTGGAGTTTCAACAAACTTCCAACAAGACAAGAGTTAAGCAGCTTATTAAAATTAAATTAATAAGCTGTAGGAGTGAAATAATAAAAATGTTCCAGTAGCTGCATTTTTATTTGGCACCTTGTTTAGGACCTGAATTTTTGTGAGCGTTTAACGCCAAACTGTTTTATAATGAATCCTACTTCTAGGGTCAGGTGATCTTAATGCATTGAGCAAACTAATAAGATTATTTATTAAATCTAGATGAATAAATTAAGCTGAAATAACAAAGAATGAAATGATGAATACTTCTGAAAAATCTCTCTTCAACTTCTCATTGAGTATAACGTATATATTACATATTGTAACTTGTCAACACTCAGTTGCCATCCCCTAAGCTATTACAGAAACAGTGTGAGCTTCAGATCAAGTTCTGTGTTTTCAATTAACTTCTGGAGTGGCCTTCAATTTCTGGATGCAGATGAAGCAGCAGTCTGCGAGCAACAAAAGCATAGCAAATTGCCATCTATGGACAATGAAAATCACTACAAAAATGCCATCTGGCTTATCAGCAGAATACCAGTACTGGCATTTGATTCAGTAAACTGCAACACTTCATCCACTGGAAGGAAGAAGGCAGTCCATTCCTCTCCAACTGCAATGCAGTAACACAGCATACAAGATACTCAACTAACTGAACACTGTTTATTTGTCTTGAAAGTTGTTTGGCTTTACTACTAGTTCTCAACATTTTGCTTTGGCAGCTGCTGACCTGAACATCTAAACATTTGCTTTTTGCAATATAAATATTTATTTCATAAAGTACTACCAAAAAGAAACATTTAAATACGTGTTTCATTGAGCTGAGAATCTGTATTTCCCATAAGGTGTAGAAACACTATTTACAGTACTTATTAGTAATATTCAGGTATTACATAAAAGTAGATCACACTTTAAAGGCAGAAAGTCAAATCATGGTGTCATGTTAAAATATAAAGCACCAACCTTCATAAATTCAGGAACTTACCAGAGAACTGTTTACAGCATTATCTGTTGTACAAGCAGCAAAATAACTTTCAGCATCTGCAAACTAATTAAAAGAACCTTAAATATAACTATTTATTGTGACACTATTTTGTGATCAAGTTCTTCAATGTTTTTTTCCATAGTTCTGTTACGATTCTTTCCCCAACATCCCCACTCCAATAATCAACAAGGCTTAGAAGTTCAAAAAATAACTCGATTTCAGTAATTCCCTTTATCTTGAGTGACCCCACTGAATGCAGTACCCAGGTCCCCAGCAGGACCAGGCTGGTAGAATGCCAAAACTTAAGAAGTTCAGTTAGTGAGATGCTCCCCTAAATTATTGCACATGCATTACAATATTCTTTTTGTTTCTTTTACTGAGACAAAACTCCTTTGCATAAAACTAAGTCAAGAGTTCTACGCTTTTAACAAGATTTCAATTAGAATGAGGTCAGCTATTATTTTTCCTCTTCCTTTCCACAAGCTAACAAAGCTGTTACCCCTGTTCCCAGATTGGCAGTTGGTTGTTCTACAGTTCTGGTAATAAATGGTATCTGCTAAATAAAGTCTTTGATGTGGAAAAGAGCTTACAGTAAAGTGTCTTTACCTAAACAATCATGGTTGAAATAGCAATCTATAAGTTTGCCATTTTTGTTCAGGCTGATAAACACAAGGTATTTTAAAGGCACTTGTAGTAATTATATTGTTGAATATTTAACTAAACTGCTTGAAAAACAAAAAGGCTCTGCAAAAAAAAAAAAAAAAAATCAGTTCACAAGACAATTGTATCATTACCTTTGACACAGCACTGCACTCAATGCTCAATATAACCACTACATGTACAACTATCACTATCAGTGAAGTCTAGCATATTCAGAGGGATTGAAATCAGTTCTCTTCATACAGCTCATTTCTATGAAGAGATGTTACTAACTACATGTTCTCGGATCACCTTTTCTGTTACTTGAGTGCAGGAATAGCATCAGGCCAAATGCCTTACTGTTTCCTGAGTCCTGCTGCTCAGCACTCTGAAACGCTGGCACAGAACAAGCACTCTTCAACATCTTTCACTTCCTTAGAAAGTGCCTCTGTTTCTGTAATAATTTTAGACTCTAGCACAAACTGTGCCCAGTTCTAGGATGAGCAACAGAAGGCCATTCACATGCATAAAAGTTACCAAATACAGGGTTAAGAACAGCAAAGAAAAAAAAAAAAAAAGTATCATGGCTCTACAACATTTCCTACATACGACTTTAAAAACCTCAAAATCTCTTCAAAAAAAAAAAAAAAAGACAGTTCACAGTTCTGCCAGACATAAAAAGGGTCATTAATAAAATTTATGTTAAATACTAATTCAATTGGTTACAGATGTAGGGGAAGTAAAAGGGCCCCCATCAGTGAGGCTCATCAGCTCTTCTTGAAAAGAATCCTCCCCTGCAACCGTTTAATATTAACTACAAGGCTAAATAGCCAATGCTCTGGCTCAGTAGAGCATTTCTCATGATTCCTCACATACTTCATACTTTTCTACTTTTAGATTCTTACTCTTGAGGCTATTATGATCGTCTACTGTGCTTGTGCCATGATTCAGCTTGTAAATTCTCTTCTTAAAACATTTATTTAAGCAAGCATACAATTTTTGATTGCCTATTTTGGATTATTCTATACAAACTTTTAAAACACTAAACAGTTATAAAGTTAAAATACTTACAAAAGCTGCATGCCTTCCACGAAAACCACGAGTACATTGTTGCCTCCATGGTTTCCAAACAATAAATCCCAAGAGGTATAGAACAAACATAGATGTTTTTGCAAATGTACTGAAAAAAGGTTTGTTGTACTTCGTAAAAACATACTGTGGAAAAAAAAAAATTGCAGTATCCAAAATTACTGGTTATGTTGGAATTCATGACAGTGAATGAACAGTTTCAAACATATAAATAAATGAAGTTGAAATAACAAAGAATGAAATGATAAATACTTCTGAAAAATCTCTCTTCAACTTCTTATTGAGTATAAGATACATACTACATGTTGTAGCTTGTCAATGCTCAGTTGCCAACCCTTAAGCTATTATAGAAACAGTGTGAGCTTCAGATCAAGTCCTGTGTTTTGAATTAATTTCTGGATGTGGCCTCCAATTTCTGGATGTAGATGAAGCAGCAGTCTGCGAGCAACAGAAGCATAGCAAAAGCAGGACAGTCTGGTTTCCAAAAATCAATGCTCCAAGTCTTGGCAACCACAAGGGGTCTCACCTATTCTGGGGACACCGTCCCCCCAAACCATCTTAAATAGCATCTCGTAAAGTACTACACCACCAAAGGAAAGCTACTTTTTACTTAGTAACCAATGTATTGATTTGCTATTGAACTCAATTAGGACTAAAAATGCACTTATATGCAAATATTCCTAAATAAAAGACCAATTTTATAAGCAGTAACACAGCAATCATAGACCAGAAAATATTACTTTCAGTAACATTTCAGTATCAGCAGTGTTTCCACCAGGTCATTGGAAAAAATGTCATATTAATAACAGCATGCTAATGCACAAACACTTTTATATGTCTCATTTTAAAACTGATAACGACTATAATTCAAATTGTTTAGGAACCTGAATTATTTATTAATTTAGAATTTATTAAAAAGTCAATTTCTATTGCTAAAGATCTGCTTAAGGTCCTAAAACTTAACATTAAGTAAATACCAGGCCAGTTTTCGGACTGAATATATGACCTAATTACCACAAACTTTTCCACAATTACAGGTTGTAACTCCATAACACACAAGGCCTTTGATCCTAGACTTGTGGATGTTCTGTACTGAAATCTACCATACCACCTAACCTGTAGTGCTACAATTCATTTACTGCTCACAAAAAGTTTAGGTATTATTTAATCAAAATGGCAGTAAACAAAGTGAATTCCCTAATTACAGTACATTTCCATGTGCTTACTTTGTTTCGTTTTAAAACTGTCATTAACATCTTCTACACTGAAGCCAGTAGTCACCAAGTTGAGCTTGTTCATAACTTGTAGCATATACAGGTGACTTCAGTAACCTAAAGGCTGCTGTCTTCCCCTTATTGAAAAGAACGTAAACAGGTTCAAACCAACTGAGTGTTAGGGACTCTGAGCTTTTCCTCTTAAATAGGATTCTTTTAAGATGCATGAAGCAATACTTACAGAAGTAAGTTCTGAAGAGGCAACCCAAATCACATCAACAAGGAGAAGAATGACAATTCCTAGAGCCATTCTTCTACGTTGAGAAGATGAACTGCTCTGGGAGCTCATTCGATTCATGATAAAAACCCACACCATTTGTAACCTATTCAGTATTAATAAAGGAATAAAACCCAGGAGATTACAAACAGCAAGTTAAAATAAACAAAAACAAAATAATAAAACCAACAAAACGCAAAGCATTTCAAATCTATGAGATGGACACACTATGCCAGGAGACACATGCTAATGTTTATTAAAAAGTCTATCTTAGACAGATCTGGTATGAGACTTTCAGAGAGATGTGAGGGATGATTACAAAGTAAATCTAGACTTTTCAACAATTTATCTACTGGTCCAGCACTGGAGCAAGCAGATGAAGCATGCAGCATGCAAATTCCAAAAACACGTTGTAAGTTCTGCATAAGGTAAAACTGCATTTCCGTAAATTCGGATAGTCCAAGGAATTAGGTTGACAAAAAAATAAAAATAAAAAACAACAGATGACTTACGCACCTCAAACTTTAAATATCTATTTGATAATTCATGAGGTATAGGCATTCTACTGAAAATCTTTCAAACAACAAGTAAGCATGCGTGCAAGAGAAAGCTTTGCCTGTTAAAAGGAAAAGCTCCAAGGGCTACGATTTTGACTGTGACTTTGCTATGTTACGTATAGGAATAGCCACCTAAGAACACTTCATATACTGAGAAATCAGAACTACACCTACAAATTAGGTTTAAGCTTGTCAGCTAGCAAAAAAAAGTGCCTTATGAAAGCCACACAGAAATTACAACTTGACATTCAGATTTTTAAATACAAACGCCTATTATCTTTTTCATACCCACATCTCACAGACCTTACAAATATTTGTTCACGGAAGCAACAGTTCTCAACTGGAGCAACTCTGGTGAACTGTCAGGAAAGCACAGCTGGGTTAAATGCTTATGGATCAACTGTTTCTGTTGAAAATGAAAGAGTACTGAAAGAGCAGAAGTATTTGGCAAAAATTTGCTTTTGGAAAATGATTATTTAGAATGAAAACAGTAAAATTATGTGCAGGAGATGAGCACAGCAGCAGTGCATACACCAACCTTCTTTCCTTCTCTTTCACAAGGCAGAATACTTCTGTTTTATTCTAAGCATAGAGTAACCACAAGAAAACAGAACTGATATTGCTTGGGTTGGCCAAAATAGTGGCACATACTGACTTTAGAGGGCTTGACTTTGCAGCAGTTTGCATTAAGATTAAATATTAATTTAGTGTTTTCATTAAGTGTTAAGAGTTCAATAAATTCTTTCAAAAAACCCTTGTTTTTAATCCTACTTGTGTTTTAACTCAAGCATTAATCATGAGCACAACCGATCTACATGCACTGTTATTTTCAGTAATGCTACCAGAAAGCGATTCAGTCTTGTCATATTGCCTTACAAGTGCCAATTTTAAAACTTGGACTTAGGAAAACCTCAAATTTTATCCTTAAAAGTCTCAAATACAAGTTTAGATACAGGACAGAGTTGGATGTCTCATATTTCTGTCTTCTCATAGCAAACTGATAAACTGACTGATTTTCTAATAAAAATCATATGCATATGGCAGATCCATGATTAACATAAATTTATTTGCCTATTTTAATAAAATGTATTAGAAGTTTATTTGCTACAGAATATATAGTGTTTCTTGCTGTTTATCAGCATAAAAAACTCAAACATTCACCATTGTCAAGTAGCCAAAGAGTGATTCACCTTTTTGGAGCAAATCCTGACTCTTATGGTAAAGACAGGTGAACCTCTCTGTTAATACAGTTATAGCAGTTTAAATTACACTTTGATTTTTCCACAAGTTAACAATCACTCACTGTCTTTTCATTATTAATGCTTTTTTTTTTTTTTTTAATGACTGCACCAGTGCCACTGTCTTCAGTGAGGAAGATGCATGATTTTTTTTTAATTTTTCTTTTTCAGACAAGCCTTTTCCTCAGATTAATCACTTACATCTTATTTATCACACAACCATAGGGGTTGGAAAGGTCCTCTGGAGATCACCTAGTCTAACTGTCTTGCCAAAGCAGGTTCCCCAGAATGCACAAGTGCTTTTGAGATCACGACCCTATTTCCCACTTTTATTTCATGTCTTCCCTTCAGTATATAGTCTTTGCCACATTCAAACATTGCCACTTTTACTAACTCCATTTCTCAAAAGAGCTTATTTCCAAAGAAAAAGATTAAGCAGAGTTCCCGAAGTATAATTATACCACTAGATCTATACTGATACATTCCATGTGTGGGCATTAGTTCTGGGTAATTATTCTGCCTTCCATAAAATGGTGGGATTGACAAAAGCAAGTAAAAGTCGGTAAGACAGGAGCAAAGTTATGAAAGACTCAGCAAGGAATTGCAATCTCTATTCAATACAGAATAAAGGAGAAAACATTTGTTTTCAAAAAGAAAAATAGGGATATTATTTTAAATCTGAGCAGTCTTAACAAGAAGGTTGTAGTGCTTAGAATCTTGTGAGGGTTTTTGAGTGTTTATGAATTGGTTTAATATACTATGTACAATAGTCTACCAACCGTGTTGCCATTTTATTATGAATAATCACCCACAAGCCATTATATTAAGTTTTGTTAAATATAGCTTACGGATCACTCACATAGTTGCATAATGTAGCCAAAATTGAAGCTGGGCATTAAAAAGTTACAAAGCATCTATAAGAAAAGTCTAATTTCCTGTCAGGCTACAGGGTGGCAAAAAACAGTGCTAAGATACAGCAGAAATAGAAAACTACTCCATCTTTTCACCACATACATGCTGTGGATAGTTAGAGGAAAGGTAGGTGGAAACAGGCAGGAATTACAGTTGCTTAATGGATTTGAGATCCCTACATGACATGCTCATACCCATCACTCTTCTGTTCACACCACAGGCTGCTCCAAAGCACACAACCTGGATAATCTGTGCCTAGAGACAGTCTACATTCTGTAGTTGCTTAGTACTATCTTAGGCTTCTAAAAATCACTTGCATTAGGATTTTTCAGTGGGAGTGAGACGAGGAGGACAACAGAATTCCTAATACTCTGTGGCTTAGAGGCTACATGAAGCCATTCAGAGCATAAATAGGTTACATCATTTCTTTTCTACCTACACACAGGATTAAAAATTCAAATTAAAAAGAACATACTGAGTCCTAAATGCTACAGTATGCCTTATGTTACAGTATAACTGTACAACAGTACAACAATGTGTTACGTTACAACTACTACTTGCTCTTTTGACTACAGTGTCTCCTTAACATTTTTGAGTGCCTAATTAATCGTTCTTCCATAACAAGGAATAAAGCTCAAGAACAGGCAACTCAAGTCTTGATTGTGCAGCAAGATGCATATTCCATCTAGTAGCTGACTAAAAGAAAGTAACACTTCACACAGAATGAAAGCAATACCAACCAGTATTACGGGAGGTTTTAGACATGTATCCTACTTACTGACAAAGAACAAGTATTCCCTAACTTGCAATGGAACACAGTTATACGCATTTCTCCATATTTGGCTTCTGCACAATGATAGCAATTAATTCTAATAGAAATGAATATAGGAAGATCTACTTTACTCATACATACCTTGCACAGTAAGCGTAAAACACAAACAGAAAACGCTAATACGTTTGACAGATCATGTCACAGTGAAGATAATCTCCTAGAGGAAAAAAAAAAGCTCTGAAAAACTGTCTGTATATTATACACTTAGATTTGCAAAAGTTTTTCTAAAATTAGAAGTCCAACTAGCATCAACTGCAGCTCAAGTGCTATATGTTAGAGGCATACGGATAGAGAACCTTAACAGTTGGTCCAATCAAAACACTAGCAAGACAACACTGAATTGCATGAAAACAGGATCATTTACTGTAAGGTATGTTCCAAAGATCACTGTCCCTTCCTTCCTTATTAACAGAATGCAGGCGGCTCCTATGAGAAGGAAGCCAATAATACTGCTTCTATCAGACACCTCTCCTAAAGAGCAAAGCTTTCTCCTTTCAGAATATTCAATTAATGAAGTGCATAGAGTTATGATAAGCTTTAGCTACCGGAAAACACACAGTTTAAACAGCAGTGGGGAGTTAGAAGTAAATGCAATATTTCAGCCTGTTACATCTAGCAGATACTTGAGTTTTTGTTTGCTTTCTGTTTCCGTTATTAGGAAATACACTTTCCATGTTGTATGACTTCTAATATACTGGGTGAATGTAAATATTTAAGGGAATGTTCATTTAAATGCAATTCTTAATATCATTGTAATTTTTAATATCATTGCAATTATTATGGCTACCTTTTTAAGTCTTTTCAATTTTATTTACCATTTTAATAATGTTAGAGTTGGGATTGCCATATTGTGGAACCATTTTTCAGCCAGTTGCATGAAGATCTTCTGGAACAAAAAAGAAAAGCAGGTGATAAAAGCACATTTATCAATTCGTGTGATGTTGTTGCATTTTGCTTTTCAAATAATAACAGTATCCTATATAACTTCATTCACCACTTCAATTTATGGTTCTCAAAAACAGAAAAGATTTAAAAAACAGTATCTACATAATTCACAGTATGTGCTCAGCTCGCTGCTTATACTGAAGCCAGAGGGTGGCCCAACTCTTATTACAGTGAATGGGCAAGAAGTGGCTACAAAGGACACAAACGTATAACTACAGTGATACTTAATGTGCAAACTTGTTTCTATAGCACTACACATTTCAGTGGACACATCATCACTTTTTCTGCTGCCTAACCTCCATCAAAGGTTCAGTCCTAAAAGAGAAAACCACATGAAGCTCACAAGATACGTAAGCACTTTTACTGTACTCGTGATTAGGAAAGAGATCCTTACGAGTAAAAGAAGTGAAAAATCATTCTAACACAGGAACATTGCCCCTAGGTGGTTTTATGAAGAAAACTAAACTCCCAAAGAAGTATTTTGGAAGAATAATGACACCCAGAAGAGAAGTTCAGCCACCAACTATGAAGAGAGGAACTCAACTTGAAATTCTTCCTTGTGTGTGAAATAATCTTGTGTAAATATAATATGAAAGACAACATACCAAGGTTTACCCACAGAAGGAACAGCTTTAGTTTTTCCAGTTATACTGGCTGCTCCGATCCCACAGGCTCTGGGGGAACCCCCACTCCTTGAACATGTACTGTCACCATCAGGTGATTCTCATTTCATGTTTGATTACTTTCAAGATAAGATAAACAGAAACAATGCATTGCCTCTTAGTAGAGGGAAAAAAAAAAAAAGCTGAAAGTAAATTGGCTGAAATGTTAAACTTATCCTTCTAGATCTGGAAATGTACATCACAGCAATGGTAGTCTAACACTTTGACCTACGCTCTCAAGAGGTACCACTGGGTGATGGGAAAAGCCAGAGCCTTCACAAGTGATGGAGAGGTGAGACTTATGCAGCTTGACAGCCGTGCTCACTGAAGCCCTGTAATCCTCACTCGGGACAAGCTTCCTGCAGAATACAATGAGGCAAAGGACCTCATTTAAAGATTAAAGCTTTTCATGCCAATATCGAGTGCTGCAAGTAAAGATCACCTTTCCCAGCTACGAGCCCCAAATATGCAGAGATAACACTCTATTACCACCAACAAAAAGAGTTAAAACTTAGTTTACTTAAAGAGATGCTTTAGAAATCTGCTTGCATACAATACTGGAAAACATACATACAGCATCCCAGCATGACTACGTGCTGCTGGGCATGGACATCTATCGCTTCATCAGTCATACACGGCAGCTTCAGGCTGAAAGCCGGCAGGTAGGACCGATGTTGCCTGGTTCTTCCTTTCCTCCAATAACAGAAGAGAAAAAAAAATTAACGTCAGGCCGCCTAAGCTCTTTCAATGTAATCACGTGCAGAGCAACAGACGTCTGTTAGACACCCGTAATTACACACTTAGAGCTCGCTAGGAACAAGTGACATCTACTTCACCATCTAATCGAAAGCGAGACCTAAACATATCGCAGTGTGTCACAGCACAAACAGCCACGGACCTCTGAGAGCAGCCAGCACAGCGGCCCCAGAGCTGCACGTCACCCCTCGGCCCTCCGAAGGCCGAACCCTGCGGGCACGCCGCGAAACCACCGCTCTCACAAACACGAGTCTGAACGGGCTCTTCCCTTCCTGCCCAGTTATCTCCGGCTGAAAGCCGCACGAAGAGAGGAAGGGGAAGCGAGCGAATTCCATGAACGCGCTCGGAACGCAGCGGAAGGCTGAGAGCAACGCAGGGACCGAAGGGGGAAGCGCGGGGTCCGTCCCTGCAGCCGCGCACGGAGCGAGGGGTGAGAGCCAGACGGGACAACCGGACAGAAGGACGGCAGGAAGGGACCTCCGGCCCGGCGCCCACACACGCGGCCCCTCCGCCCGCGCACGACGGGAAGAGCAAAGCCGCCCCCGGGGCAGGCGGCGGAGCGAGGCGGCCCGGGCCTCGCCCCCTCAGCGCCGCGGAGCCGGGCAGGGAGGCCTCTCGCCCACGACGGCCGGTGGGGTCTGACAGGCGGCGGGACCGCCGGCCGCCTCGCCTCCCTTCCCCCGCGCACGACCGCCGGGACGCGCCGCCGGCCGCCCCCTGCCCGCGGAGGTACCTGAGCGCCGCGCAGGGCCCGCAGCTCCGCCGGCACCGCCCGCGGTCCGCCCCTTCCTCCCCCCCCTCCCAAGATGGTGCCGTGCCGATACCGGCGGCCGAGAATCCATCCCCGAGGCAGCGAGCGAGCGAGCGGCCGCCCCGCCCCGGGGCCGGGCCCATCGAGGCGCTCGGCGCTCCGCTTGCCGGCCTGCCGCGCTCCGTGGGGTCGCTCGCGGTGCGTTCGGCTGCGGCGTTGGAAGTCCGCGAGTGAGGGGCTGGGCGGCCCTGCCGTTCCCTGTGACGGGAGCGGGAGCAGCCGCGACGGAAGAGATTTCCTCCACACAGTCGTTACCGAGCGTTTCGGCAGCGAGATGCTGGGGGGAGATGAGGTCGAATAAACAAGCGCCGTGGAGGAGCAGAACGCAGTCACGGCACAAACTGGGGTTGCAGGAGTAGTTCGGAGCTCGAAAGCGGCACGTCGTACAGACCCGTGGTCTGAGCGCTCCGGGAAGCGCGGTGAATCAGCCCTTGGTTCGGGCTGCCTGGTTGTTTTAATGCATTCCGAGTGTATGTTACAAATAACGCTGCACTGATTCATTGTCCTTCGGTCCTTACTCTTCTGCCTTCGAGCCAAAACATGCAGTAAGGTGCTTTTATACTGAATTTTGACTTCACGACTTTGGAAGGAAATAGTAGACAAAATTCGTTGATTACAACTGGTAAAACAACAGCCCTCCAGAACTCAGCTTTCTGTAGAACTTGGAGGACCTGAAAACAATGCGAAATGTAGTTATGAAATCGTGTGTGCATCTCACAGCATCTGATTTCATTTTCATCTTGCACTTCCTTCCCGTCAGTGTTTATGCTGGGACTCAGTAAACTTCCACGGCTCATCCAAGGTCGCTGAGTTAATGTGTGGCAAAGAGATCCAAAGATCTATGACTGCAGCACGGGCAGAGAGACTGCAGATAATGCCTTTCTATAGCTAATGGCACTTAGTTACTGAGTAGATGTTTTGAAATTTTTAATGCATAATTTATATTAAAATGGAGTGATAGTTAAATCCTTTGCTAATATCAAGCTGCATGTGAAGAAAGAGAGCAGCTAAGGTGAGAGGGAAGGGGCACGTTCTCAGCTTTTTCTGTCCTGTCTGATCACGCAGTGTTGGAAAAGCTCTGGAAAGGTGTAATGAAGCTCAGCTCTGTTGCACCTGGCAAAATATCTGGAGATGCACAGATGTTATGTGTTTTCTTCTCAGCCATTCATAGTAGAAAGCATACGAACTAAAACACACAAGGAGGAACTTAGGCTGTGGTTCTTAAGGCATCTGAAGAAAAGCAGGTCAATATTGTAAGAAGCCCACAAGCCTGTATTTTTTCATACCTACAAATGTCACACAACTCTTGTATTCTTAGCTCTTGACTAAGAAGTTTGCTTCCTATTGTAAAAGTTCACATGATGATCTTGTGCCTCCTCTGAAAGAAACTGCTGTAAGAATGATTTTCCCCCCACCTCTTTCTTTTTTTTTTTTTTTTTCTTTTGGGCTGTTCTTTTTTAGAATTAGCTTGCATAATCCCATGCAATAGAACTACCTCTTTTAGTGTATTGCAAATACACTGTGTATTTATTTTTGTCATGGTGAGAATTTTAAGTGCATAAATCTCAAGGCAAAATTAGATTTACTTCTCAGCAGCGCTGTAATATTTTCATAAGAGAAAATATCCTCAATTTTATTTTACAGATGGATAAATTACAATCAGAATTTCATTTCTGCTCTTGTGTGCTCTGCATAGGAGAATGTAATGGATGGTTTGAATGAAGTAGATCAGATCTCAAGAAGGAAATTTAATACTTCTGTAAGCCTCATGATAGATCTTTGCAAAGGAATTTCATGTGCTTACTTTAGAGAAATGCTTTGGAAGGATTTTGATCAGATCTTTGGTGAACAAGATAGAAACAACAAGGCAGCAGTAGAAACTGTATTAAAATGTAAACTGAGAAACTCGGTTTCAACCCATTCTTTTCCTCCTAATGAAAAGGATGCAGACTAAGCTTGCAAGACCAGAATGCATTGCAGCAGTTTTCTCTGTTCTGTTGTGTGAGACCAAAAATCCATCCCACTCAGGGTCACATCTCCACAGTGACTGGTAACAGGGAGCTGGGAAATGGGTTTTGTAAGCAAGGCAGTTGCAGAGGAGTTGGTACGTGGTACATCCTTGTTGCTTTAAGAAATAAATGGTTCACAGCATCCTTATCTGGACATCTGTAATTCAGCCAGTGTGTTCGATAGCTCTTGGCAGACCTGTTAACTTGTCTAATTCCTTCTTTGAACCAGTTGTAGTGCAGAATATTAGTTGATAAGGATTTATTTAGGTAGTTTCTAAGTGCAAAATAAAATACTTAGTTTTTCTTTGTTAGCCCACTGCATAACTTCTGCTAGCTATTCCACTTCACCACCTTTGCACCATCCCTGTTTCAATGAGTCTTATCACAGTTCCCCCCAGCTGTCCTTGGTATGTCCTCACATCCTACGCTTTGCATGAATCCACTGGTGGCCAAAGGAATTGCTCTGTTACTCCATATCCTCACTGCCTTCCCAGACTTCTGATCCAATTTTTGAGACACTGAAATTAAAACATCAAAATCTGGGCATATTTTGAGTTAAGATTATGATAGTTCTGGTATCCGTTTTGTTACATTTACTAACATATTGTATTTTTTGCTCTTGCTGAGCTATTACATGGTTACTATTTTTACCTGCTTTACCATATGCCAAAGCTTTAAAACTTCAGTCCTTAGAAGTCTGTTGTTTTCAGCAAGACCTGTGCTTGTTAAAAAGAATACTACCAGTACTTACAGGAAAAATGTTACATTGCAGATGGCTTAGAAGCAAAAACCACAAATATTTTTGCAATGTAGCTTCTTATCAAGCCTTACTTTTAATAGCTTTAGAAAATTAAATAAAATCCAGAGCCTTTTCTGCTTCCTCCTGAACAGTTCTTGTAAATATTATTTAGTAATGAGATTACAGACAAGGTAAAAACTCATCTGACCAAGTTGTCACCTACATGAGTCTCTTTACTCTTACAGGATTTTTTTGGGGGGGGGGAGAAGGGGGAGAACATTTTTTAAAAATTGGTTCACAGGCTGAAAATATGACTAAATTGCTATCACTCAATTATTTTCAGTCAATAAACTCTGATCATAATTAATATGTTAAAATGGCAATTAAAAAAAAAAAAAGCCTTCAAAAATGTTCTGAATCACAGATTTACCACAGTACTGAGAAAAATAATCTGCTTAGGAGGGGACTCACGCATAACCTTCAAACAGGTTGGCAAGGGGGGAGTTATGTGAATACCAAAGATAGCAGAAGCACATGTGTGGGTACCTGCTCTCCCTGGAGAGTCAATCAGAAGAAGAAATGAACCTTAATTTAAAGTCAAATGTGATTTTTACTTGCACTGAGTATTCCCATAGAAACTAATTTCTAGAGGTCAAGCTGGGCACCGTGGCCAGTATAGAACTTCACAGTCTGCATAACCCTGTATGTTCAGAAGAACATAGAACAGATTTTGATATTTGTGCTTTTGTACATTCCTGTATGAATAACCACAGTGATTCAGTGAGGCTAATTGCGACATAAGGTACTATGCAAAGTGGGTTGAAGCATTGCCCAATATGGTAATAGTTAACTGATCCCTTGCTGGGCAAGCATGATATTCAAGATAAATCAGGACTCTCATAAAAAGGGCTTAAAGCAAAGGAACAAATGTTCCATATTTATTCATAAATTGCAGGCATACAGTTCAAATAGGTCATATCTATAGAATACATACAGGGATTAAACTGGAAGTTGTTCTGTGGGGAAGTACAGGAAGAAAAGTTTCTATTTTTCACATCCTGTAATGTGACAAGTACCTCTAGTCTTTCCAATGCAGACTCCTAAGTCTTAAGTTTATCAGATTAGAAATTGCACTGATGGAATTATTGATCTGGGGCTTTGTCAGTGCCTTGTCTTCAGATAGAAAGATCTCAGAATATTTTGTCATTAAAGGTTAAGTTAGTTGGCTCTCAAGTTGATACACCAGTTTGAAAAAGAATGTAGTGTTCCAATTACGTATGTTAATGTAGTCATCCTTGCAATAAGGGGTAACATAATTGCTCTGGGCAACCTGATCTAGTACTTAATCTAGCCTGTGGCAGGGTGGTTGAAACGATGATCCCTGAAGGCCCTTCCAACCCAAGCCATTCTATGATAATTCATGTTACCTGTTCATAAGATTTTGGCCAACTTACACAATCCTCAGTATTTTTGCTTCGGTATTTGTCTAACACAGTTTTTCAGAAACAGCAAAAGGAGTGAAATGTTTGGATAAAGTATTTCTATTGATTTTGATAGATTTATGATACTACACAAATTCTTTCTCACACATCTCTGGTCTTCATCAGAGACACCCGTATGATCCTGCCAATGGCTGACACATCATTGTAGAGTTACAAATTCTCTCTTATTCTTTTTATGATCAATTAAAGTGTTATTCCAGCAGAATTTCCTACAGTCTTTCAGCAGGACAAGCAAGAAACGTCAACTCCATAGAAAGGAGTTAAGAGTTTATTTCCCTGTGTATTACAAAGAGACTGAATAAACCCAGTTAGAGATAGCCAGCACTCAGAAATAGAGCTTTGAAGTTGTTTCCATTTTTACACATGCAGTGTCACCAAAAATAGATTTTTAGATTTTTTTTTTTTAATTTTTTTTTTACAGAACACAGTATTTTTGAAGTGTTCGTAGTCAAACTTGGACTCCAGATAGTTGTGATAACTGGGAAAGAACAGCATGAGCTGTTCATTGCAATCTCCCAGCTCTGCTGGAGAGAGCGTTACTTATTCTGCTGGAGAGAAAGCAGCCACATCATTTAACCCATCAGAGAGTTATATTTTTAGTTACTTCTCTTTTTGTCTGAAACAAATCAGGGAGTGCTCAATCTTGGCTCAGCCATTAGAACTGTGGATGCTATAATATTACCCAGCTGATTGGAAAGCCTGTGCCATTTTTAACAAGCACCCTGCTTGATTCAGAGAAGGACATCTGTCTATGTCAGTTCCAAATGTTCCTCCTCTAGTTATCTTCAACTAAGTACAAAACAAATAACACAGCACTACATCAGTATTTGTGATGCAGTGGTCTTTCACTCCTGTTGTCCTCTAAAAAGCTAATCAGAGGGGTCAACTGTTTGGATCAGCTGAAGGGCATTCATTTTTTTTTTTTTTCCAAAAGTCACAAAATAAGAAAAACTACCTAAAAGGTATAATCCTCTTATGAAAAGCAATTTAGAATGAGAGATCCAGTGTTGGCTGCAAAACCATGTTAAAGTTTTCAAATGTTTCAGAAGAGAAACTAACTTATTTACCTTTCAGATACAACTGTTTGCTGCTTCAAGAGTTTGAACAGCTCCACAGCTTTAGCACAACATGGTTTTGGGTCAAAAATCCACAGCATCATTGCATGCTCTATGAATCATCATGCTCCTGCTTTCATGAACCAGCCCACTTGGAAGCTTGTTTCCTCTGTTCTGAGTATCTATGATCTGGCACTTCTCTTGCATTTGCCACATTTTTAAGGCTTGGTTTTACTCCAATGCTTTGCTGCAAACATCACTGGATACAGATACCTGCAGTGACTGCTAAATTGCACGATTACCAAGTGACATAATGGTGTGATTTAGGACAATTAATATTTTTGAATAATATTTTTAAAAAAACAACACTAAATTAAAGAAATTGTTTTACATCTGTTTGCAAGTTATTTTTAATTTTACTTCCATCAATGCTTTGTGACTAGGTGAACATGGAAGCGGATGCCTAACATCCATCCAGCCACTAAGGCAAGTAAATATTCAAAGCTATGACTGACATTCTCTCTTCTGTTAAGCATATAGTATCTGGAAATTCTATGAAAAAGGTAGTAATACACATTTGTTCCAGAAAATATATATATATATATTTGGAAAACATAAGGAGAGTTATATTAGATGAGAAAGTACAGGTTTTCTGATCAGGGCCAAGTTAGACTTTACTACTTCCTGGCTCCCAGGTGTGACTGTGGGGAATCCGTGCAGTATGGATAAGATACAAAGGCAAAGAATATATGGCATTTTACTATTCTGGAAATATTGCAGCATCCCACTGCTAATTTCCTCACAAACATCAAAGAAAAGTTGTATTTGTTATGCTTGACCACAGAATAATTTTGAATGAGAATGCAAGCTTTAAATGAGAATTCAATGTTCCTCCTCCAGATTTTGCCTCTGTTCCGAATATCAGTATTCCTATTTAAGTCACCACATTGTGATATAAAATTCTTCCTTTATATTTTCTGGTTTATCTTTTGATGTACTCCTTGTTGCTATTCCTAGCAAATAAATACAATGGGCACTAGAGGTGTCATCACCATAATATTAAATTGGAACCTGCTTATATCCTTATCAGTTTCTTTCTCACATACTTGTTTCACTGAACAAAGGATCTTAGCACTTCCCTCCCCCCCATTCGTTATTTTGAAAATAAAATAGTTCATTTAAGTCAGAAATCTTGGAGAGCAGCCATGTCAAATGAGATCCTGGTAATTGCAATGGCTTTGCCATGTGCAGCTCCATGAAATTACATGCCTTCCATATGGCTGTTGCTAGAGCTATGCCAAAATCAACCAGTAACATTATAATTTTGCTTGTGGCCCTTCCTGGAAGAAATCTACATACGTCAAATATCACAGTAGATAGTCTTTTCTTATTTAGCTCTCTGTATTTTTCCATCACCAATTACTAAAATTTATTTATGATAAAATGACCAGAACATGATGGATAAATTATTAAGCAAGGTGCTTTTTAAGAAATACATGCAGTAAACATTGTCTAATGGAAAATCTAGACCTGATTTTCGTTGATTGTTTCTCAAGCTTTTATTGTCAGTTTTATCTGGGCTTAAAGGATGTTTGGTGTGATGCAGTGGAAATTAACCCACCTGTTAAATTCAATTTATGCCAGTCTGAATGGCAATGTGCTGACCCAGGCAAGATCAGGTTCTCATCCTATTTTAATCACACTCTCCTCAGCATTTCCAACATCCCTGCACCCCTGCAACTTTTTCTTCCTTTTGTTTCTTCTTACCACTTGCACTGGCCTTGACCTTTATGTGAATTCATAGCATTGTTCTTTCTGCATGCTCAAAGGCAGGCCATTACCTGCGTGAAAATGATCCAGATTGAGAAGACTGCTGAAAAGCTTCCCATTTAGCTCAACATGTGATCTGTAATGCTTTTACCTAGGTGTGCTCTTTTTCGAGCCGAAGGACTCATGAAATTTCAGTACACAATACTCCCAAAGCCGTGCAGTATCATGAAAAAAGGGCACATGACATTTTTAAATATAAAATTGAATGAAGGTGTCATCTGAAAATTACCTCCCTCCAAGTCAAGCTGTTAGATTGCTCTTGTGTTTGCTTATTGACTAATGGTATCACTTTTCTTCTCAACTTTTCTCATTCCTTATGCATTTGTATTCATCTGCCTTCTCTTGTTCTCTATTTACATTGTGAACTGCCTCAAAGCAGTAACAGCAATACAAGGAGTATGCTCTCCAGTGGTAATTATCTTATTGTGGATATCCAGGAAAAGGTCACCTGTAATTCAACTGGGTTTATAGTAGGTAGACTCTGATCCATCACCAAATGATGATATTGGTGGATCATGGCTGCTGTACAGGATAGTTCCAGATAAAGGAAATTTCAAGGCTTACTCTGGTTCTGCTGGAGAGAATGAAAACATACTAAAGCATTGACCAAGGTATTCACCAAGATAACTGAGAATCCAATGTATGAAACTACAAAGGAATCAGGACTCAGTACAGGAATCAGTATTGAAATTTAGATTGACCTATTTGAATTTTGCTGCAGAGCAGAGCAA